GATACACCCGAAAAGCCCGAGAGCATTACACAACCCAGTGCGGGTGAGGGCTAATGCTGGCGGAATTAATTCGCCATTCGAAGTAAATTATTTACTAGCTATCCCTAAAAATTAATTCGCCGTTCGAAGTAAATTAGTGACTTGCTATCCCTAAAATGCCCCATCGTATTTTGAGCGGTGTTAAAAGCAAGGTTACTAAGGGTCACATTCTATCGCGAATGGCCCATAAACCAAAGCCGGACTATCTGGTGGGGCTATTTCAACGCCGCGCTGTACAGGAACAGGCTTAAGAGACTGGGTCATCTGAGACATATTGTTCGGTTGCGCAGATAGAAGATGGTGGCGCACTTCCCCTATTCACGCAGGGTTTTTCTTCCACAAGCCGCTTGTTTTTATGAAGCAGCATTGCTGCAAAACTTGGCTTTAGCGTGGATTCTAAGGCAGGCTGCTAATACCAGGTAGTAGATTAACTGATACACCCGAAGCAACGGTGCGGATGTGCAAATAATTACGTTGCTCTGGTTTAGTTGTAGTTGAAAGCACGTTTTTATCCTAACGTTTACCTTGCTCCAGAGGAACGCGTTACAACTTGTACGAACGGCCCACGCCACTTAACTGGCCTAAGAAGCCCCCGGCGAACGTTCCCGTTTCAAGGTCCAGCAAGCCGTGCCGAGCAAGGGCGACTCCCGCTCACACCGCAACCCCACAAGACCGACCTTGACCTCGGAGCACCGGCCGACCGCTGCACCGCAGCGGCTATTGAACAGAGCGCCATCGATCACCGCTCTCTGCCTCTCAATACGGCTCTAGTGTGGCGCTGAGCTGGAGCGCGCTCCAAACCCCGACACAAGAATGCTCTTCGTCATCCTCACACAAAGGTATTTCAGGGAAAGCCGGCGAATCAGCCGCTGGAGAGTGATCGAGATTCAAAGCCGGTAATCCGCGTGCAGCGGTATTACCGCTGTGGTCTGCGTCAGTTGTCGCTGTAGGCCGGGGTGGTGAGCAGCTACGCTCCACTCGAAACTGTCCGACGCCGCGCGAATTGAGCGTGTAAACTGGGCTCCCTGTAACGGCATGTCGACCGCACTATACGCAGCCGTGAGGTCGTTCCCCTGCGCTCGCGGTTCGCGGGAGAAGGGCCGTGCCTTAAGCTGGACCTGAGCACGGCTAAATCGGAGGTTGTACAGCGGAAGAGCTTCCACCAAAACGAAAAGATCAGTACGTCAGGTCTGGCTCGTTGCCAGGAAATCGAAAATTAGGAAGCGTAGCCTTCGATGGCCGCGCGTTTCACAACGCACGTCACTTGTGAACATACTTTGTTTTTTCACTGCAGACACAAGGAGCATCCCACGTGCCATGGCTTCCCGTACCTGGGCCACTGTCTAGGCTGCTTCTCGGCGCTCTGTATGTGTGCCTGGCCCCAGGCTGTTAGGACTGACACGCATCAGCTGTCATCAAATTAACAAATGGCTGCATTCTTGGACTGTTTACTGCAACAAGCTTATCATGCCTTTAAATGAAGAGCGTTCGCTATTTCCATGAAAGCATACGGTCTGAAGCATGGAAATGGCTGACTGACACGTACACAAGCGTGGAAGTCGGAGTGCCCGAAAATTTGCAGAAATCGCCCTTAAGGCAACAAGCACGGCCATCTGGGTCATCTGTTACATATTTCATCTCTTCTTTGGTATGAGACGATGTTTTAACACTGAACACGGAACTAAAACGTAGTGACAACATTCATGACATTATTTCTCCTCGCAGCGTTATTAGAAATCAGCTATGAGCCTGTTTATATACCTATGTAGATGCCCATATCGCCTATGAGCTGATACTTCATAACGCATAAGCTACTCAATACATTAGGTAGCTCTGACATCGCTGCAAACCATTTGGAGCTTGTCCGATTGCTTATAATCGATTTTTCCTGTCACGCGCGGATCCCCTGCACTTCCTTTAAACACACTCATACGCACTGTGACCACACTCAACACAAACGTCGTCGACACGACCAGAATCTTGGTAATCTACGGAACGCAGAACATCGCACGTCCCTTCCAATCGTGTTTTTCCAGTCAATGCATGTGCCGTCGGTACTCAGGAGCACATGGATAAATCCCCATCCCCAAACCGATAACGAATCCCCAAAACGATAACGAGGCCGGGCAGCCACTGTGGGCGTTGTGAAATACGAACCAACGCCCATGCGTCCGGATCATTTAACTTGGGCTCCGCCTTTGGGTGCAACCGTCCGCTGCGGACCGGTGGTGTCGCCCACAAACGATGGCCAATCACCGCCGAGTCCGAGTCACATGTCCGCCGTGGCGGGGCCTGTGCCCAGCCGTGCGGGTCCGTGGTGAGATGGTGGCTTGAATGCACGATCGTCCGTGCACACCCATCGGCCGCCCAGCCCGCGGCGAGTGTCCGTCACGGCCCTCCCCCGAGCCGAACATCACCGCCACGACCCGAGTGACGTCACTGGGAGCGTCAGCGCCGTTCTCCCACCGCGGGCACCTGCTGCGAGCCGTGCCCGATGCCGGAGGAGCCGCGGGCATGAGCCCCGCCCCATCGCGGTGCCGGCCGCGTAGGCAGACCCGCTGCGATGCAAAGCCGCCGAGTCGGCCGCCCCCGACAGCCCGTTAAAACAGGCGATAAAGCGCCGCCTGCCCGACAGCGGACGTGTATTGCAGCGAGCGCGGACAAGCGGCAGCGGCAGCGGCAGCGGCGGGGCGGCCACACGCAGCCGGGACGGACCGCAGCGGCAGAGATCGGGGCGCGCGGGCCAGCGGGGCGCTGCACCCGGCCGCGGCGAAAGCGCAGAGCTCACATCACAGTGGCATACTAGAAGGGCAGCAGGGCGCCCCAGCATTGAACAAATCACCTCACCTGACAGCAGCACAACAACGCCGGCAGACCCCCGCCGAGCCGGCGCCAGACAGCGTCACAGCGCCGGCCACACGTGCAGCACGCCGGCACGCGTGGCGACGGAGCCGCCGGCCGGACAGACAGGTCACGCTAGGGGCAGGCGGCCGGGGTGCCGGCCCGGCCAGCTGACGGCAGGCGCAGCCGGAACCGCCGCGGCCGCGCGACCGTCGCGGCTCAGCCGACGGCAGGGTCAACAGGCAACACGTATACACGGAGCACGCGGAACGGGCCGTACCCAGGCGGCACGGCTCGGGGTCGGGGCGAGACCGGCGGGACGGGCCGTACCCAGGCGGTACAGGTCGGGACCAAGCCGGCTAATAGGAAACACTCATTCAGCTGTGTGGTACAGATCACATCCTACTGGCCAGACGGAGACAAACTTGCTGAAGTGGTTAACTAGGAGTGCATGTTCCACAAACCCGACCGAAGCGCAGATGACACAGAACATCGGATGCAACGGGATGAGTGGAGAACACGAGCAGCACAGCTCGATGGAGCCACCACGAACGGCAAAAGCCGCGCCCAAACAATACACAACAAACTGACGGCAGCAGCTGCCATATTTAATGACCAAAACGAGTCGTTTTGAGACTATTGACCCGATGACCGCGACAAACGCAGCACACCACAAATCGGGGACCGCCGAGAAGGCCGGGGCTCAGACATCAACCGCAGGGCGGGCCGAACCTCGGCGGTTCACACCGGCCCTGACCGGGCCAAATATCGCCGTCCTGTCGCTCCGGGGGCAGGATCAATGTCAGCGCTGCCAGAGGGCTGACGGGCCGCGCCAGTGGCGGGCCAGGGACGCCACGCCAGCGCCAGCGCCGTGCGGGGGTGTCCAACCGGCGCTGCCGCACTGCGGACACGCGAGGCCGGTGCCGGTGCAATGCGGGGTTATCGGCCGTTGCCATGCACGGGGTGGCCGGCCAGGGCTGGCGCGGTACAGGGGTGTCCGACCCGTGCCGGCGCTGATGCGCTGCCAGGGGTGGCCGACCGGCGCCGTGGCAGCGGCCACGAGGGCGCCACACCGCCGCCGGCGGCGCCAGGGCTGGGCGGCGCCGCTGCGCTCAGGTGGTCGCCGAGTGGAGCCGCGGCCGGCGCGCGCCGCCCCGCGGCTCGCTGCTGGCCGAATCTGGCGCCTCCCGCAGCGCCACGTTCTTCTCCAGCCAGTTGGCCACCTGGACGACACACCGCCACGGCGCAACGGTCAGCTCTCGGTGAAACCAGACAGCTCACGGCAACACAGACCTGCCCCTGTAGCGCCGGCGCTGCTGCTAAAGGTCCAAGTCCAGCAGACCGGGAGTCGGGTCACGTGGAGACGGACAACAGGCAACCGGGCGCCTTATCAGACGTTTACGTTAAGACCACCGGCGGTAAGCGAGTTGAAGGCGCTGTCGGTAACCTCCTACATGTGGAGCTCCATAAAGTAAGCGGGTATTTACCGTGCCTATTTTTGGCGGAGACAGCGGCCAAACGTAGTTTGCATAGAATTCTAATTGCCGTCGTGCCGGGAAATTGTCGGTGTAACGACATAAAACACCGCACACAACGCACACTTAAGTTTACACAGCACGAACGACCCTCCGTGAGCATTTCAGCTTCGCCAACTACCAACCAAAGGGCAACATGGAAAACCCAGCTGAAATAAGCGCTGCAACAAATGAGCCACTGAGAACATTGTCAGAACGAGCTGTATTAGACTTCCTTTGTGGGCATCTTTCGGCGCTCTCCTTCTCCCGGGAGGCAGCGCCGAGTCCATCGTCACTAACAGCCGGCCATTGAAACCGAAACGTCCGTTTAAACACGCCCGCCGCGCCAAGGACCGGCGGTCCTTTGTACCGCCGGGGGGCAGGGAGGGGGGGGGGAGCGGGGGCTGTGACCTAACCTCGCGCGTGCTCTGCACCAGGTCGTCGACAGACGGCAGCTCGGGCAGCGGCTCCATCCTGTTGTTGGGCAGCGAGCCGTTCCTGCGGCCCAGCTCGTAGGCGCCTGACGGACACGGGCGAGTCGTCAGCGGCCCGTCACGTGCCGCGTCAGCGTGCAGACCCACCGCTCACGCACCCCGCACATTCACGCTAATCAGCAGGCGCGCGGGAGCGGACAGCGCGAGTCTGCAAAAACGGAGACGCTCAGCGGCCGCGGCTTGTTCGATACGACGCGGCAACAGTGTGCGATGCTGAGCAGCAGAACTTATATCGATGTGCCGAACGACACGACACCCCTCGCCAAAGCGGCAGCGCTGCGGGCTGGGCCGCCATGCTATCACGGCTGGCAGAGCCGCTGATGCCATTGGCCCCCACACGCGTCACATACGTAACCTAGCTGCCCGCGGGCCGAGGGCGTACAGGCAGGCACCCCTGGTGATGGCTCAAAGCGAGCTCCGGCTTCGATGCGGGCTCACGGTGAGCCGACGCCGGGTCTTGCCCGGGCGCCAGCCGGGTCCGAGCTCCAGACAGCGCCGGAGCCGCACACCCGCGCACCAACACCCCGTCCAACCGCGCCGCTCTGGGGCGCGCGCGCGCGGAGCGTCCACTCACGAAGCCGGTCAGGCTCAGGCGAGGGCAGCGCGAAGCCGAGCCGTGGCGCCTCGCCGTTGCCCGGCGGCTCGGGCCGCGCGCGGCGGTGCGGCGCGGCGCGCGGCGAGCGCGCGTCGCACGAGCTCAGCGAGGAGGTGATGCTCGGCAGGCGGATGTCGAGCGCCGAGCCGCGCCCCGTCACCACCTGAGGACAAGGCAACCGTCAGCAGACCTTCAGCGGACCGTCAGCAGACCGTCAGCTGATCATCAGCGTACCGTCCGCGGACCGTCAGCGGACCGGCGGCCGCCCGGCTGACGGCGCGAGGCGACCAGGCGCGCGCCGCTGCGAGCCGGACTCGGTCGCTCGCTTGCCGCTTTTCACGACGGCAACAATTTACGGCGAGACGTGCGACGAGCGGGAGCAAGTGCACGTTTCGCATGTTCGCGAACGCTGCAGTGCCGCCGCGGGCACATACCCCGACGCCTCCGCACGACGAGCTCAGCCGCGCGGGCGGGCGATTCGGACGACCACAGCCGGGCCACCAACGAGCCGGAAATCAGCATGACGGCCCACCGTTACCAACAGCAGCCATTCTCACAGATAATAGCCCGCCTGACCTTTGGCTGAATGCGGGCCGTCGCTTTAAGAACGGCGCTAGCATAACGGCCGGGCAGGCTGGCACAGTGACCGAACAGGCGAGGAGCGGGACGGCGTGACGCAGCGATCGAGCGGAGTGGCCGGCCCGGCGCAGCAGCCCGGCGGAGGTACGGGCGACACCGCGACCGGTGAGAAGGCCGGCGCAGTAGCTGACGGTCATCAGCGCCAGCGACCAGGGGCAATGCCGCAACCACCGGCCTCAATCCTCAACCTTAGACCATACCAGCGCACCACCGAGACCTGGCAGGATCAGCTGGGCAGCGAGTAGTGCCTCACCTTGTGATTCATGCAGTAGAGCTTGGTGGTGATATCGCGGGCGATCATGGTCGAGAGGACGGTGGCCAGGTAGGGCTCCTTCACGAACAGGTACTCGATGGCCGAGCGGTGCCAGAAGATGTAGCGGCACTGACTGGCAGCGATGATGGCCACCTGAGACAGACGCGGCTCGGCTCAGACAGCGCCCCCGGCTGCCGCCCGACGCTCGCGGCACGCCAATGGGACAGACCGGCGTCAACCTTTGGCTGAATTCTCTATCACAGGTGACTGGCGCTCGGCTGGCGTCGTGGCACCAGAGCGCTACTATAGCAGTGCGTCCCAAGAAAGGCGCATAGCGCCATGCGTCGTGTTCCTTATATGAAAGGAGACACTGACTCACACGACTTCCCTTTACAAGACAGACTTCTTCAATACACACGCAGGCGGCTTACATGACACGTTGTGACCTCTCAGATGCGTCTCTTTGATGTTCTTTCGACCTTTGATGTGTTTCCACTCATCAAGGCACCTTAAACAGGCCACGCAACATGCGGCATTCACATCACTAATACCGGCCTGTCTCGCGGCCCCCTACCACGCACCTTAAACTTCTCTCGGCGGTGGCCTTGGTCGACTCAAACTCGGGGCTGTCGAGGAACTGGTTGGACCCGATGCTGTGCAGGAAGCTGTTGTCGGCGAGCACGTTGCACTTGCCGGCCAGCAGCACGCCCAGTCGGTCGGTGCGCGTCAGGTTCTGCAGGGCGTACGCCTCGCCCGCGTGCAGCGTCACCAGCTGGGCGTGCTCCGGACTCACCAGCTTGCGGAACAGCAGGCGCGGCACCTGAGGGCCGCAGTGGCGTCACACGCGTCTGAGACGGAGGCCAGGCGCCTCAGCGACCACACGAGGCTGAGACTGAGGCCAGGCGCCTCAGAGACCACACGCGTCTGAGACTGGGGCCAGGCGCCTCAGCGGCCACACGCGTCTGAGACTGAGGCCAGGCGCCTCAGCGGCCACACGAGGCTGAGACTGTGTCCGGCGCCTCAGTGACCATACGAGACTAAGACTGAGGGCAATAACCTCAGTGACCACACGCGTCTGAGACCAGACCAGGCTCCACGGCGGCCTCACGCGTCTGAGACTGAGACCATACGCCACAGTCGGCACAAACATGTAAGACTGTGACCACACACCACACCGGCCGCACGCGACTGGGGCAGCGAGCGCAGTCGGAAACACGCACTCGCACCACGAAGTGTGAGGGCAGTGGCAGTGCGGACACGGCGAGGAGTCAAGATAGTGATCAGAGCGATCGCCAAGGAAACCCGACACAAGCCGAGGCCGCGCACGGTACGACGGGGGCGCCCGAGCCAGAGGACCCTCGCGACGCACCCGCAGCGGCTCGAACAGCGTCTTGTAGAGCTCCTCCAGCTCCTGGTCGAACTTGACCGGGCGCATCTGGTAGATGATGTGCAGCACCTGGCCCATGTTCAGCAGCACGAACAGGAAGTTCCAGGTGAAGATGTCCGGCGCGCAGATGACGTTCCAGCCCCACATCGAGTACAGGAAGAAGCCTGGCGACAGCGGCCAGCCGCGTCAGGTGGTCGGGAGCTCAGGCCAGCCCAGCTGTCAGCCAGCAGCCAGCCTTCAATGCACGCTGTAGGGCTTTCCGCTCGAGTCGCACGCCTGATGGACCAACATGGATCGTTCAAACGCAACGGTTCAGCCTCATATCCAGAAGGATACCTGTGGGAGCAAAAATAATGCCCGAAAAGTTGAAACTTAAAGAAGCCTATAAATTTGCGTCAGCAGCGCGTAGCGAGATTCTATTTGAGCCGCAGTATCGTGTACAGTATAACGACGTTGAGAAGTCCTAGCATCTGAGTAGGCGGGAAGGGGGGGGGGGGGGGCTGATAACGCAACTGGGACGACGTTCCTCTGCAGGAAGGTCCGGCAAGGCGAAGCTTACGTCAGCTTTTAGCCATAGGTGACATTTGCTCCGGTACCAAGCTGGAAGCTGGACGCACTGATGCAACATTATTTCTGCAACAATGTATGACATCGGCTATCATGTATGACACAAGAGCAGCATTGCTACATGTGAGTGGAGCTGCTGGAACGTAATCCATACAGTCCTGCGTGATCATGAGTGTGGAAAATAACACTGAATATGTAATGATCCGCCTACCTCGCGAACCACAGAGCGTCCTTGAATCATCATACACACTTCACAAATAGCATGACCGCCGTTCAATTGCACCGCATACCCATCGGATACACTCGGCGCACATCATACAACACATGTTACTGACGCGCACGCGCGATACATACGCAAAAAAAGAACCCCCTCAAAAAAAAAAAACAGTAGGAGGGGCTAGTGGCTACACCGGTTCCTGCGGAAGGATCTTACACACAGCGTGGACACTTGGGTAGTGTGGGGGACGTTACACTGACAGAGCATGCGAATTCGATACGACCGCGTTCCAGAGAGCCGACAGAGGGTGACACTGAAAACACTACGACAGAAGGTGGCACTGACAAACCCTCCGGCAGAGTGTGACACGTGTGGCGCTGATAAACCGTCCAAGAGTGTGGCACTGACAAACTCTCCGACACGGGGTGGCACTAACAAACCCTCCAACAGAGGGTGGCGCTCACAAACCTTCCAACAGAGGGTGGCAGTGAAAAACCCACCAACAGGGGGGGGGGGGGGGGCACTGACAAACCCTCCAACAGAGGGTGGCACTCACAAAGCTTCCAACGGAGGGTGGTAGTGAAAACCCTCCAACAGGGGGTGGCACTGCAAACCCTCCAACAGAGGGTGGCACTGACACACCCGCCGCAGACTTCAGGCGACGTCCGCGGCGGACATATATCGCATGCGTCGTTTACGTCCGCGTTGGCTATGATGTATGGCCGGGTTATATATTGCATACGTCGTTGGGAAGTCCTAGCACCTGAGGAGACGGAAGGGGAAGGGGGGGGGGGTTGATTGCCAAACCCTCCATTAGAGGATGGCACTGACAAACCCTCCAACAGGGGTTTTGTACTAGCCCATCGTCCAACAGCGGGTGGTGCTGACAAACCCGCCGCAGATGTCGGGCGACGTCAAACCCCGGCCGGGGGGCCGCTCCCTGCTTTGCATCTCCCAGAGCGAGACAGACGCCCAAGATCACGGCACAGCGCCGTGGGTTCGTAACCCTTTTAAGGCGTCGCGTTTCTCGCACAACAGGGCGGAATCCTACCACATCGGACGTCCGCAGCATGGCTTTGCACGGCGCCCGACAATGCTGACCCTGTCTGGTTGCTAGACTCAGGCTGATTAGTTTCGTAGTTCGGCAGACTGTGACGTCGCTTCGGGGGAGACGCTCACGCAGCGTGCTGTCGTCAGCGAGCCCGCGTGGTCCCAACGCCACGTGAGCGAACAATGAATGCGGCTGGGTTTACAAAGTCTTCTTGATCTGGAGGCTGAGCTGACCAGCGTGAGCGTGGCGTGCTCCTGAGGCGCGCAGGCCATCCAGAGGCCAGCTCGCGACGTCCAAGCGCGGGTCTGACCTGATCCGTGGCAGCTGAGTCGCATCTACTCTTTTAGTTTGCTCTGTCCAATCAACGTTACAAATATAGAACCATAATCTATGTAACAAACATGGGCGGTACAACGAATCTATATATTATCAAAACGTCGATTCATTAAAGCTACAGCCTGACTTAACTTAATAGTCGCAATGATAGCTGATAGCCTATGGTGTCAACCAATAGCGGATCCAATGGTGAAAATAACTGTAATGGGAAGCCACAGATGACATTTTACTAGGGTAGCGAGTACCATCCTGAGGTGGAGCCATGTCAGATAGCATTTCAGTCATTTTTATGTGAACCGTAAGGCGCTTCGTTGACTGGATGTAACTGGATCTGCCTGATTGCTTACATCTAATTTGCATTACGCCTCTATCTCGTTTGGATCATCTTTGGCTTACATGCTCGCGCATGCCAACAAGTCGCCTAGACGGTGCGTTCCATGCCACTATTTATGACCGAGGGATGCCATTAACTAATGCGTTGTTCGTAACCACTATCGATGACATCCATTGCGTAATTATAACCTCATCAGGTGAATGTACGCGTACACTGCTTATGCAGCTCCTATGCACTCCATTATGCAGCTCCTAGGCATATACAGATCACGCACTACACACGTACCGTCTTGCTCTACGACGTCATTATCGCAGGTATTTCTTGCGCGACGTGATGGCCTCGGCCATGATGTCGTTATTACACTGCGCGGAATGGCAGCATCGCCGGTGGGCCGGCCGTTCTGCTCGGCTCCGCACCAGCCGACGTCAGCCGACGCCGCCGGCGCTGCGACGTGCCGCCGCGGGCCACGTGGCGCCGGTGCCGACAGTAGCTACCCATAACCCGGCGCCGCGTGTGTCGGGCCCGTCGGCGGGGCGTGACGCAGCTGGCCCGTCCGGTGCGTGCCGGCCGGGTGGGTGGATGGGCGACGGAGCGGGTCGACCGCAGCCAAAAGCCGCGTTTTCATCAGCCGACAGCAACCATCTCCCCTTCGCGCACTACCGTGCGGTACCATTTGAGACATCGCAACGACGCAACATGCGTCTACGCGCTGCGGAACAACGCGCTGTGTGCATGCCATCGCACGGCCTGTGTACGTCTAACGTATGTCTGAGATAGCGACGAACACAAGACTCAGGCGAGCGGAATATCCGTTCGCACGGTAACATGAAAGTATGAAGGCAAAGCGAAATGACGGCGGCGTAGCACACACCACAACTTCACTTGCAGCAGGGGCCTTTAATAAGATACACAGACGGCATTAAGACCCGCCTTAACCTCGCTTGTCACACAGCCGAACAAGGAGTTAAATTTCAAACCATACAAAAGCAAATGAATATGCCGCTTTCACAAAGATCCGCGCATGACCGGACCCCCAGCCATATTTCCATCTACTAAAAGACGTAAACATCTATGACGGCGACATCGTGAACAAGCACGCAGCCTCATAAAGTGGAAGCATAAACCAATTTGACACCAATTTTAGGTACGTGGCGCGGACTTCCCATTCGTACACTTCTAGCTCCGACAAAGTTTTTGTCCACAAATGGCATAAAAATTAAAATCCGATATAAAGTAGGCTTGCTCCAGCTTTACATGCGTCCGTGGAACAAGCCATTGCTTTTGCAACGAGTTTCGATTTTAATGAAAACACGTCGGATGGTCAATACCGCACGAAAACACCGAGTCTGCATTTTTGTTCGATATCACACGATTCTAGAAGATTCTAGACCCTACATTCAAACACCGAAACCAAATGTGCAGGGCCCAGGAGCAATCTAGTGCACCCGAGCAGGGTAACAGATAGGGTTCCCAACAAGTGCAAAGGACCCTCTATTTAAATAGGAAGTACCCATGGCGCACTCTGGAGGGCCCCGAGCGACCGAGTGATGATGATGATGATGATTGGGGTTTTAGGGCGCGTCGACAGCGACCGAGTGAGCCCCAGTAGGTTAACACATAGGCCCCAGACCAGAGCGTAGGGCCCTTCGCAAGTAACAGAAGCTTGGAAAGGTCCTAGACCAGCGTAGAGAGACACATGAGCATATCGTGAGTACACCAGTAGGTTAACTGTGACCAACGTGAAGGCCCCCTGAGCAAACAAGAATACCCCACCATATCAACATATGCCCCCCCCCCCCCCCCCTCCCGGCTCGAGCGTATAGAGCGTTTCGTACGAATGAAAAAAAAAATCCGTGCAAGGTCCCTGGAAACGGTTTCATTGACAATGAGCACCCAGCACATTAGCAGGAAGAGCCCCAGCCAACAGCGCAGGGTCCCCGGCAACTGCAAAGAATCAAAGGCAACGTAGGAGGCTCCTGAGCGATGAGACTGACCCCGCAAGTGGGCACATAGGCCTCAGAAACGGCGTGGGGACTCTGGACCAGCGTAAGCAGTCTTTAGACCTGCCGATCACCACCCTCTCAATCAGTGAATAATAAGTTTAATCTACTCGCGGGCCCTTCACCTCCACTACAGCTGTTATTGGTCGCCCTAGAAGCCCAAAGACGTTCAATGTTTATTGCGTTCTATGTAAGACAATGCGTCTGTTCGGCCAGGTATGGGGCCCCTCGGAGCCGATGAGCTCCTTCGCGGCCCAAGGGGGGGGGGGGCATGACGCCGTGCCCCCCCCCCCCCACTGGATGTGCCCCTGCTGGGTAGTGCAGAACAAAGCTGTGAACGGTGTATATTTGGGACGGGGATATAATAACACATGTTTTTCCCTATTGTCTTGACAGTACTACAGTGGCACCACCCACCGCCTTTATTAGACGCGACCATGGGTGTAGGAACTGGGGGGGGGGGGCACACGGGACCCCCACTTTTCAAGGGGGGGGGGGGGGGGCAGCAGTGGTTAACTACCGCCCCCTTTCAGATTAAGGTCGTGGTTGGCTTCTTCTGCACTAAATTACGCATACATGCCGACTTACCTAGTTCACCACCCATCTTCCTCAAGATGCGTCATCTTTTGTCGTTTGCTATGAGCCATCGCCTAGAATCA